ATTGACCTATGGCAGCCATCCTCACAAAGACATGTTCTGTACATCTCCAATAAATTCCTTAGAGTAAATTCTTACAAGTGGAACATCTGGATCAAAGGGTATGGATGTCTTTAAGGTTTCTGATAGGTATTGCCAAACCAATCTACACTCCTCTCAGTGATTTTTAAGGCCTCCAGTTTTTGCTTGTCCTTACCAATAGAGGGTTTTATCACTTTAGAAAAGTTATCTGAGAGAAAATAAGTGTTAGAAAATATCTATTATTCTGCTTTCATAAGTGCAGTATATGGACCATAATGGAGTCTTGGGGCTAAGTTGTGATTCGGAATATTAGTTTTCCATGTGCTGCTCTGTAGAGGTGTTCTGATGTAGTGTAATATGAAGGTTGTATGAAGAAAGCTTGGTGCCTCAGAAGGAACTCTGAGTTAGCAGTGAGGACGCTGGGATTCTGGTCCTAGCTAGCTGGGTTTCCTTAGGCAAGTGTTTTATTCTCAGTAATTTAAATACCTCAGAGGAGCCACTAGGAAGCTTATCTGTGTGTAAGTCTGTGAGTTCGCTTGAATCCATGCGTTGGGATTGGCCCTCTTGAGGCCACTGCGACAAACACTGCAAATACTGCCTTCTAAATCAGTACCGGAGGGTTAATTAGTATAAGGAATGTTGGAAATAATTTTTGTTGACGAAAGGAATGGTGTGCAAGATATGAAGCTCGACAAGAATGTTGATCAGTTCTCTGCCTGTTTCATTGACAGTTAAGGGGGCGCCGGCTGCCACTGGCCACTGTAATCTGGCACTCCTGAGAGGGCTGAGGCGGCCCAGATCGCTCAAGGCTCAGGAGTCAAGACCAGCCTGAGCCAAGAGTGAGACCCCGTCATCCCTACTCAAAAAACACAGAGAAAAATTAATTGGCCAACTAAAAAGAAATGAAAAAAAAAATTAACGCCAAGGCGTGGAGTGGCATGGCACCTATGTCCAGCTCTTGGGAAGCTGAGGCAAGAGGATTGCTTGAGCGCTGGTATTTGAGGTTGCTGTGAGCCTGGGAGATGCCACGGCATCCTCGCACCAGTGACAGAGTGAGACTGTCTCAAAAAAAAAAAAAAGAAGTATCAGCTGGGCACGCATGCGTTTTAGGTAGCAACCCTGGGCTAGAGCTCTGTTTGTTCTGGAATGCCCCACTTAACCAAGGATTTTGTTGCTTGATGCTGGTAGAAAGGGTGGCCTGTTAATTCAATGCATAATATAACGGGCCTTAACCTAGCGAAATGGGAGAAATATTCGCATGTTACACATCCGGCTAAAGGGCTGATCACTAGAATCTATATAGAATCAGGCAAATCAGCAAGAAAAAATCAAACCACCCTAATCCAAAAGTGGGGCAAAGGAATGAACAGAAAGCTTTTGCAAAAGAAGATCGAGCTAATGACCAGAACCATATGAAAAAATGGGCTCAACATCTATATACATCAGGGAAATGTAAATCAAAACCCATGAGATACACCTACTTCGTGAGAATGGTCTTTATCAAAGTCCCCAAAACAGTAGTGTGGCATAGATGCGGGAGAATAGGAACACTCAGAACTGATGGTGGGCTGCAAACTGTACAGACCTCTTGTGATAAGTAATATGGGATCCTCAAAGGCTACAAGTAGAACTACCTTTGATCCAGCAATCCCATTACTGGGCATCTACCCCAAAAGAAACAAAAGGCTTCTTAATAAAAGGAATCACGCACTCGAATGTTTTCTAGCAGCCATATCACCATTGCAAATGTGGGATCAGCTGGAGTGCCAATCATTGCAATGAGTGGATATAATATGTATATGTATACCTGGGTGTTCTACCAGCTACAAAAACAATGGTGATCTAGTACCTTTGTATGATCTGATAGAGCTGGAACCCATTCTACGTGATAATCTTCAAGAATGAGAACAAGCACCCATGTACTCACATCAAATTGTACTTAACTGATCAACATTTAAGTGCACTATAGCAATAACATGTCATCAGGTGTCGGGGTCGGTGGCGGGTGGAGGGATGGGTATATACACACCTAATGGGTGCAGTACGCATTGGGTGGTGGGGGATGGACATGCTTGAAGCTCTGACTCCAGTGGGGCAAAGGCAATATATGTAACCTAAACATTTGTACCTGCGTAATATGCTGAAATTAAAATAAATAAATAAAAGCAAAAAAAAAAAAAAAAAGAAATTAAGATCCTTGAACCACCCAATCCACATAGTTTTGGCCACTTCTTATATCCAGTAATGACTTTTATATTTTGTTCATCTTGCTGTCTTCCCATTTTTCTTCCTTGTTCCACAAGTGTTGTAAGCGGCTCATCACAAGAAGTCATACAATAAAATAATGATACAATATTACTAGGAAAAAAGGTAGTTATTTAGGGGCACTTGTCTCAGGGAGAAACCTTCCTGGGCAGGGTGCCACAGAGTGCCAAAGTAGATGCTGAGCACCCAGGGAGAGGTTTTGCACTCTTTTGGTGCCTGCTTGGTAGTCAATGTCTTTCTTGTGGCAGAATTCAAGCTGAGGTTTACTTTCTCTGTAATATAACATCTGGGAGTAAGGTTGCAGGGAAGGGGACGAGATCACTTCTACTCTAACCTCTCTGAAACATTTTGCTTATCTGCAAGATGAGTTATGGGAAATGGACTAAATAATTTCTGACTTTCCAGTTAGTCCTAGTGGCTCACACCTGTAATCCTAACACTCTGGAAGGCTGAGGCAGGAGGATTGCTTGAGGTCAGAAGTTCCAGACCAACCTAATCAAGAGCGAGACCCCATAACTCTACTAAAAATAGAAAGAAATTAGCTAGACAACTAAAAATATCTAGAAAAAAATTAGCTGAGCATGGTGGCACATGCCTGTAGTCCCAGTTACTTGGGAGGCTGAGGCAGGAGGATTGCTTGAGCCCAGGAGTTTGAGGTTCCTGTGAGCTAAGCTGATGCCACGGCATTGTAGCCCGGGCAACAGAGCCAAACCCTGTCTCAAAAAAAAATCTATATTATGTGATGTAAAGAATATGTCAGACTTCCTGGCATCTTTATTTAAGAGAAAGGAAATATTATTTCTAAAACTTAATGTAGTGTGTATATATATATATTATTATATATTTTTTTTTTTTTTTTTTTTTTGAGACAGAGTCTCACTCGTTGCTGGGCTAGAGCGAGTCTGTGGATCAGCTGCTCACAGCACCTCAAACTCTGGCTCAAGCAATCCTCTGCCTCAGCCTGCTGGGTAGCTGGGACTACAGGCATCCACCACTATGCCCAGCTAATTTTTTCTACATATTTTTTCATTGGCTGGTTAATTTCTTTCTATTTTTAATTGAGACAGGGTCTCACTCTTGCTCAGGCTGGTTTCAAACTCCTGACCTTGAGCAATCCTCCCACCTCTGCCTCCCAGAATGGTAGGATTACAGGCATTGAGACACCGCACCCAGCCTATGTTAATATTAAATTATATTTAATAGAAAGGAAAATTGAAGTGCAGAGAGATTAAATTGTACAGGCCTGTCTTGCTTCAAAATGTATGCTCTTTCTACCCCTCACAACAGATACCCCTCTGCTAGGGACTGAATTTTGTCCCCCCAACCCCAATGTGACTATATTTCCTATCTTTCTCCTCCTAGCCCTCATCCAAGTGTAGAAATAATTTGGTCTGTTTCTCAAGTTGGTGGAAGTTTTGTCATCTCATTTAACTACCCAGCTCCATTACAGGTTTAAAAACATATTATAGCCGGGCGCTGTGGCTCACGCCTGTAATCCTAGCTCTTGGGAGGCCGAGGCGGGCGGATTGCTCAAGGTCAGAGTTCAAACAGCCTGAGCAAGATGGAGACCCCGTCTCTTACTATAATAGAGAAATCTGGCAACTGATATATATATAAAATTAGCGGGATGGTGGCACATGCCTGTAGTCCAGCTACCAGGGGGCTGAGGCAGAAAGATCGCTCGAGCCCAGGGTTTGAGGTTGCTGTGAGCTAGGCTGACGCCGGCACTCACTCTAGCCTGGGCAACACAGCGAGCTCTGTCTCAAAAAAAAAAAAAAAAACAAAAAACAACATATTATAAGCTAGATACATTTCAAGGGGTTTCTCATCAGGCCCAGTAGCTGACATTCCCATAAAATCAACACAGTATTCACGTGCAGTCCATAACCATGGATATAAGGTTTGCTATCAGCAGATCCATTACCAAGAAGCGTCCTGTGTAATGACACTCTTTCATGTGTCAAATAAAATATAGTGGTGCTTTCCCTAGCCATGTATTGTTGCTCTGTGAGAAAATTACCCACTCATCTTTTCTTTTTTTTAAGCTAAGCCTACAGCACCCAGTATTCCCAAGCAGTCCCCGATCCAAGTAGTACCAGGCTTGTCTTTACTTAGTTTCTGAGATGAGGCACAATTGGGCGTATTCAGGGTAATACAGCCACCAACTATTCACACATTTTGTCTGCCCTATAGGGAAGGAAAGAGAGCCAAGCAATTACTTTGGAATTGGCTCCCCAAATCATGGAATGTCTGTTCTCAGACATCTTCAAGAAACAGATAACCATTTGGCTCTGGGTCATTTTAACATCAATTGACCTCATAATTTTTTTTGTTTTGTTTTGTTTTGTTTTGTTTTTTGAGATGGTAGTCCCCCTGTGTTCCCCAGTCTGGTCCCACAGTCCTGGGCTCAAGCAATCCTTCTGCCTCAGCCTCCTGAGTGGCTGGGACTACAGGCTTGGGCCACCATGCCAGCAGCCTGATAGATTTTTAAGATTCCTTTCAGCACTGTGGTTTTGTGACTCTAATCTCTAAGGAAAACGTCCTTTGATGTCCAGAGCTTGCTTCTAATTTGATGTGATACCAGATTGCAAAGTTATAGCTGATGCTGGATACATAGCCTATGTGCATATCACAGTGATTTTTCAGAACCCCAAACTTAATGTAGGTGTTGGTATTGAAATCAGTTTAAATTCATATAAACCTCTATTCAATTATAGGTCACCTTTAGATGGTGGAAGATCTCTCTAAGGAGTGAGTATCGATCAACAAAACCTGGAGAAATAAAAGAAACCCACGAAGACTTCCTAGAGAATTCACACCTTCAAGGTAAGGAAGGGAACATTTTTCATACTTATTATTGTTAAGTTTTTAATTAGTGATAGATTTTTGTCAGAGAAGTTTCAAATATATCATCATCTGAAATATTGATGTGTAATTATGTATTTGGATATGTAATATTAGATTCTTAAAAAACAGAAAATTAACACATCCTAAAATTTCTTTTTTAAAAAAATCAAGTGTTAGGCCAGGTGTGGCGGCTCATGCCTGTAATTCTAGCACTCTGGGAGACTGAGGTGGGAGGACCCCTGGAGCTCAGGAGTTCAAGACTAGCCCTGAGCAAGAATGAGACCCCATCTCTACTAAAAATAGAAAAATCAACCAGGCATTGTGGTGTGCACCTGTAGTCCCAGCTACTCGGGAGGCTGAGGCAGAAAGATTGCTTGAGCCCAGGAGTTTGAGGTTGCTGTGAGCTAGGCTGACGCCAGGGCACTCTACTCAGGACAAAGGAGTGAGACTTGGTCTAAAAAAAAAAAAAAATCAAGTGTTAAAGATTCTAGGTTAACATGTGGATTCCATTAATGAAGTCAAGTAAATATAATTTTTTGCTATAATATTCGTGAATTGGGCAGTGCCAAACCACAAGTGGTTTGGGCTCCACTGAGGAACACTGGAGGGGAAAACTTATTTTATAAGATATTTTCAGAAGCAAGACAAAGAAAATATTGGATTAGTTAAAGTGGAAAGTGCCTAGTGAGAGGTTAGTTGGAGGTTTCTGACTGGTAAAGTCTCTAGTTAGAAGTTAGTTGGCAGTTTCTGATTGGGTAAGCCTAAATTTCATTTGCCTAAGCTACAACCAGACATCCATTCTGAGTTGGGATTCGGTTTGCTTACGTAGGAAGTCAGGGCACTGAAGAATTCTCAGCCCAGTGGCTTTCCAATTAATTATTTTAACACTTCTCAATGTGAAAATCTTAAACATAAAAAGTATACAGAATGATTTTTAATAAACTCCTATGTACTAGAAGGAAATTAGAAATATTTTACCCCAAAATATATTTCTTTGACACATTTTGAGACGGCTGCCCTGGGGTCTCACAGAAGGAACGCTGGAAAGCTGTCTCTTGGAGGGCAGGGGTGGAATTTGCTCCTGTAGAGAAGCACCCAGGTCTTTCCTACCCCAATCTAGAAAAGATTAACTGAGAGTCTGACACCTTGAAAGGTCTGAAAAGAAACATTTACCATCTCTTCTGTCTGAGGGTTGCTGCCTTAAGGTTCATTTACATAACAAGGCCACCTTTGCTAGCTGGCAGCTTCTTTTTCCTTCCCTAAAACCTGTTTTATTGCTTCCATTCTTCACATGCCTCTACCTCACCAAAAAGTCGAAAGCATCCTGAGGGTTCCTGTGTACACACGTTAAATGAATTTGTATCTTTTTCCGCCTGTTAATCAACCTGCCTTATGTCAGTGGTTTTTCAATGAACCTTAGGGAGGCAGGAGCCTCTGCTCCCTACAGACTCATAATTCAGCTTCAGCAATGCTCAAAACGTGGCCAAAACCTGCACATGAACTCACAGTTTCCACTGGATTATTTTGAAGCAAATCCCAGTTGTTATGACATTTCATCTTAAACTACTTTAGTATATGTCTCTGAAGGGGACTCTCTACAACTAAGCTCTTTAATAATTATTCCTTAATAATAAAAATTTAAAACTAGAAGACACCTTACACGAAACCAGCCTGAGCAAGAGCGAGACCCCATCTCTACTATAAATAGAAAGAAATTAATTGGCCAACTAATATATATAGAAAAAAATTAGCCAGGCATGGTGGCGCATGCTTGTAGTCCCAGCTACTTGGGAGGCTGAGGCAGGAGGATTGCTTGAGCCCAGGAGTTTGAGGTTGCTGTGAGCTAGGCTGACGCCACGGCACTCACTCTAGCCTGGGCAGCAAAGAGAGACTCTGTCTCAAAAAAAAAAAAAAAACACCTTACAGATTCTTACTAGTCATAGTTAACAATCTTATTTATATTAATATCAAGTACTTTCACACACATGATCTCATGTTATTGTTACAATATCCTTGTGAAATAAATATTATCTCTGTTTTACAAATGGATTCAGAACAGATGTGAACTTCCAGGGTTTTACAGCTAAGTATTGACATTGCCAGGACTAACCATTAAAACTTAAAAATTTAAGTATATTTATCTTATTTAGAAGGCAAACTCTGAGTGGATCTTTGATAACCAACATTCTTTTTTTGGTTTTTGTGTGTGTTTTCTCTTTTTGAGACAGGGTCTCACTGTCACCCAGGCTGGAGTGCAGTGGTGAGAGCCTAGCTCACTGCAACCTCAAACTCCTAAGCTCAAGCGATCCTCCCACCTCAGCCCCCTAAATAGCTGGGACTATGGGCCCACACCACCATCCCCAGCTAATTTTTTTGTAGAGACAGAATCTCACTCTTGCTCAGGCTGGTCTCAAACTCCTGCCTTAGCCTCCCAAAGTGTGGGATTACAGACATGAGCCAGGAGCCACCATGCGCAGCCCAATAATCAACACCTCTTTTTTTTTTTTTTTTTTTCTTTTTTTTTTTTGCATTCCCAAACATTCTGTAAGTCAACACTCTTAAACAAAGATTCTATTACTTAACATTATTTAGTAAGTGATTTTTTTTTTTTTTTTTTTTTTTTGAGACAGAGTCTCACTTTGTTGCCAGGCTAGAGTGAGTGCCGTGGCGTCAGCCTGGCTCACAGCAACCTCAATCTCCGGGGCTCAGCGATCCTACTGCCTCAGCCTCCCGAGTAGCTGGGACTACAACATGCGCCACCATGCCCGGCTAATTTTTTGTATATATATTTTAGTTAGTCAATTAATTTATTTCTATTTGGTAGAGACGGGGTCTCACTCAGGCTGGTTTCGAACTCCTGACCTTGAGCAATCCGCCCGCCTCGGCCTCCCAAAGTGAGTGATTTTTTTTTTAAGAGAGAGAAGGCTTTGGTTTTTTTTTGCTTCCTTAAATAGTTAAAGTCGGATTGATTGCCTTCAAAAGCATATCATAATGGAGCAATATAATATTATTAACTCTTTTTTTTTTTTTTGAGACAGAGTCTCGCTTTGTTGCCCAGGCTAGAGTGAGTGCCGTGGCGTCAGCCTAGCTCACAGCAACCTCAAACTCCTGGGCTCAAGCAATCCTACTGCTTCAGTCTCCCAAGTAGCTGGGACTACAGGCACGTGCCACCATGCCCGGCTAATATTATTAACTCCTTTACAGCAAGTATTTGTAAAATTCATTATTGGCTTAATAAGAACCATGTTGGGGAAAGACTGTTCACTTTTGATTGAATATAAATCAGTCCAATCATGCCCTCTTTAATTGTGGAACAGACATGTTCCTACACAGATAGCTATAAACTTCTATAAAACACATTACATTTTCTTTTTTTTTGAGACAGAGTCTCGCTTTGTTGCCCAGGCTAGAGTGAGTACTGTGGCGTTAGCCTCGCTCACAGCAACCTTAAACTCCTGGGCTCAAGCAATCCTCCTGCCTCAGCCTCCCAAGTAGCTGGGACTACAGGCATACGCCACCATGCCCGGCTGATTTTTTTCTGTGTATATTAGTTAGCCAATTAATTTCTTTCTATTTATAGTAGAGATGGGGTCTCGCTCAGGCTGGTTTTGAACTCCTGACCTCGAGCAATGCACCAGCCTCAGCCTCCCAGAGTGCTGGGATTACAGGTGTGAGCCAAACATTTCATTTTCAAGTTAGAATCCATTTATTTTCTAACCAATGTGGTACCTACCCCAGAGCTATATGTCTAGCGAGTGCTGCATGTTCACTGACAGATTATGTAATTTTCTGATTGACATCCACATAACCTGGAGATGGGCAAGAGAGGTTGGAGGCCAAGGCCAGCCACTGCCTTCTGAGCACTGGCTTACCTGCTTCAGGTGCCTTCAACGCTCCTGCTCTGGTAAGTTGGGGGGGGGTCCACGTTGGCATCAAGATAACCACATAACCACTTGGGGGTTCCTGACCCTGGAAGAGAATAGGCAATAAAGCAGGAATGCTGTGAGTCTGACTGCAGGCCTGCCTCCCTGCTGCTCCCTCCTGCCCCACACACAGCATGCCAGCAGGAGAGTTGAGGGATTAAGTTAAGGAGTGTACCCAACCAGGCTTTTTAATCTTTTTTTTTTTTTTTGGTATCTTGAAAGGAACAGAACCAACCAGTCTTTTTAAAAGGCAGTTTTGAGAGCCGTAGTCTCAGCACTGCCTAGTGGCAACTCGCCAGGAGTGGCACTGTGACACCAAACTCAATCAGCCCGGCAAGTTCAAAGGCTCCTGTGTCTCAGAGAGGAAAAGTCTGAACAGCTGTTGTTCGTCTCTGTCCTCCCTCTTAGAGAACCCTTCAGAAAGTTCTCTCTCACCAGAGCGAGGGAGGAAGACTCGGTGGCACAGAGTGGGGCTTAGGGATCAGCTGGCCAGGGTTCGAATCTCCGTGCTGCCGCTGGCCACCCGTGTGACCACGGTTGGTTGCTCATGGCCGCTGTGAGTCCATTTCCTCATCCTTATCTGGGGTTGATGTTACTCTGTGTGGTCCTGGTGAGCATTCAGTGACACGATACATGAATGGAATTTAGAACTTTGCCGGATATGGAAGTAGCTCTTAATCATTGTTTGCTGTCGTGGCTAAGTATATGACGTTTGACTGCATTTATTTTTTCCCATCTCCTCTTTGTCATATTCCTAAGATCCCCAGAAGGTTTTCTCACGCAGAGGTCCTCTCCTACTGGTATCCCATACCCTGACAACCGTCTCTAGAAATCCAGGTCACCTGGTGGTGGTCCTGGCAGAGGATGGGCCCATGTCACTCTTGATGCTTTGGCCTCTCAGTAGCATTTAACTCAGGGGTGACATTTTCTCCTGTGGCTCCCAGAGGGCACCTTGCTCTTGGCTTTTTTTCTGCTTCGGTGGCTCCTTCTCAGTCTCCTTTGCTGGCTCCTCCTCATCCCTCCAAATGGAAATGTTGGGACCCAGGTTTCAGCTCT